CGTAAATACCTTGTCACACTGCTACCTAGTCTTCAAAATAATTTTTAATTATAGTAGAGCATTATGCTGAGAGAAGGGCTAATATTTTATAGCTACTCAACTGTTGGACACTGTGTGTGTTTACTTTGTAAATAATGCATCAGGGAGCATCTCTGTCTAAATAGCTTATTAATATTTTGGACTATCTCCTTTGTAAACGAGGGCAAGGGGAGATGGTCCACAGAAATGGTCTTACTGGGTCGAAATGTATGCATGAATAATATGGATCTTTAATGCATTGCAAAATTAATTTGTAATACTGCAATACCACCAGGATTAGAGATTATCATTGCAAATGGTTTTTAATTTTTTTTTGGCTAATATTTAAAATGGAAGGAGCCCTAGTGCTGCAATGGTTAAATGCTCAACTGCTAACCGAAAGATCAGAGATTTGAACCTACCAGCGGCTCCTTGGAAGAGAAGACCTGGTAATTTGCTCTCATAAAGATTATAGCCTATGAAACTTATAGAGCAGTTCTACTCTGTCCTATAGGGGAGATATGAGTTGGAATTGACTCGACAGCACACAACAACAACAAAATGTTAAATAGTACTGTACTGCTGTTTTATTTTGCATGTCTTTTATTACTATTGAATTTGAACTTCTTCCATATATTTGTCTAGCGTTGTATTTAGTTATCTACTCAAATGTTCTACCAACGATTTAGCACTTTTTAATTTGTATGAGTACTTCACATAATAAAGATATTAATTCTGTCATGGTTACTGCAAATCTTTCCTTAGTTTGCTATTTCCCCATTGGTTTTTTTTACATGAAGAAATCTTTGATTTTCCTATAGCTTAACTGGCTATTCTATTCCTTTTCCAATGTATTTCTTTTGTTTCTAAGCCATATTCAATTCTATGGATTTCCTACGCCTCTGCATTTTGCACTTAATTGTTTAATCCATCTGTAATTCATTTTGGTGAAGCTGAGATGATTTTTTCCACATTGCTAACTAGGCATTCAAAATTATTTACTGAATAATTTTTCTCTTCCCCACTGATTTGCAATGACTTCTTCACGACGTATTAAATTATTTATGTGAGGGTCTACTTCTGAACTACACTACTTCACTTATCTATTCCCTCCTCCTATGTCAGCACCACACTGTTTTACTTACAAAGACTTCATAATGCATTTCAATAATTTGTTGTGGTATATATTTTAATATTCAATAGATCTGACTTCCTCCCAAAACAATGTCAGAATACCCCTTGCGGTTCTCATCTACTTACTTTTCCAAACAGACTTAAAATCATCTTGTGAAATTTAAAACATCCTCATGGGACTTTCAAAGGAATGGCAGTGGACTCAGGAACTAATTTCAGAAGAATCTAAACTCTTATTTTTGATCTCACCACCTAGAAATAGGGTTTTCAGTTAATCTCTTTAAGATTTTTTGGCCTACAACAAAGCAATCTGTAATTAATGATACTTTTATCTAATAATAAATATCATTTATAAAATTATCATTAATAATAGATTTCTTAGTTATAGACCAAGAAAACTTAAAGAGATGAACTATTTTATGACTTTCTGCATTGGCTAAAGCTTAAAGAAACAATGTCTAAGAGTACCAGTCTTGTTTTGATCTAAATGGTAGCTAATGATGCCTTTAGGGCTTTGCCAATAAGTATAATGCTGATGGGCTATGAACTCAATCTTCCTTATCCTATTAAGGAATGGACATTTTATATTTTCTCTTTTAAATGGTTTTTAAAAATTAGAAGTTAGATTTGATTTAAATGCACTTTTGGAATTAATCAGGTTATTACATATTTTTACTTGACCAATTTACATGAATTACATGAAAAAACATATAAATATATCTATGAAGCCATTCCTGCATTCCAGGAATAAAATCTACTTGGTTATGGTGGAACATTCACAGACTCTGTTGCTGAAATCTGTTCATTAAGATTTTATCTAAAATTTTTACATTCCTAAGTGAAGTTGGTATAGAGTCTCCCCTTTGGGGCTTGCCAGTTTTGATATCAGGGTCATGTTTTCTTGAAAGAATAATCTGGAAGTTCTCCATCTTTTTTCTAAATCTTGGAATAGTTTATATAACACAGGAATTATCTGTCTCATGAAAGTTTAAAAGGATTTTCAAAGGCCTTTGTATACTGTAAAATATTCCACCTGGCCTAAGATCAAGCACGGGTGTGTGTGTGTGTGTGTGTCCATGTGGAATTACCCTGTGTGAACAGGAAACCTTGGTGGCGTAGTGGTTAAATGCTATGGCTGCTAACAAAAAAGTTGGCAGTTTGAATCCACCAGGTGCTCCTTGGAAACTCTATGGGGTGTTCTACTCCGTCCTATAGGGTCACTATGAGTCTGAATCAACTCAATGGTAACGGGTTTGGTTTTCGGTTTTGTACGTTTATAATGACACTGTAAAATACTGATCTCCAATTAAACAGGGAACAGCTTTATTACAGTTTGTTGCCTTTTTTCCTCCATGAAAAGGGAGTAAATGGCCAAGATGATGAATTGAGCGAAAAAACATTTTCCCAGGCTTTGGTTCCAAGAGCCTCCTTTTTAGAGTCACATAAAGGGGACCACAGAAGGTAGTCGAGGAATATTTAATACTGAATCTTCCAGATTTCACTGAGGCTGACCAAGTTTGACAACCACAACTTTATCACTGACATATGGAACTAGGAAGTCTAAGATTTAGAAAGACAAAGAGATCACCTTGATTAACCCAAGGTCACCTCTAGTTCTGTGGTAAAAGTCTCCCAACTTTCCACTCCACCAAGCCATCTTCTCCAGCTATAGGACATGTCACCTCTTCCACAGCAATGAAAGCTTGTAATTCCAGGGCCTTCTCCACTGCAGGGCTCCTGGACTAATGATCCAGAAAACACTTCAAAGGGGCCACAAACAAAGAGTCATAGTTGTGGTAACAATGTCTGTCAAGAACAACACTGAGCTACAGCTATGCAGAGCACATAGTCTGGTGTAGAGTGGGATATACCTTGAAAGAGACAGGTAATATGTAGTCCAGACAAACGAAGAGTGAGTGTTTGCTAGAACATGCAAGAACGGTGCCATATGAACATATTTGAACATATAAAAAGGACTCAGACAGTGTACTACACCCAAGAATGCAGTTGTGAAGAGGGGAATAACTGCAGATGTGAGTATGCCACAAAAATGCCTTTTGCTCAAGAAGATCCATCTTAGTTCACGTCCTTGTCCACAGAGCATCACTGAAAGGCTAAGGATTCTGGCATAGGACACCTTTCGTCAGCCAAGGTGATGAGTGTTAAGATCAAATCCTCTTTGGCGCTAGGAGTCTGTGATTCCATTCCAAGATTTCACAAAGGCATGTAAACAGTCTTTTTCTTCCCCTCAACAAGAACAGGGAGGTTGTTTCACGCCAGTCATGGACTAACACAGAAGCTTAATCCCTTTCTGGAAGGCAAGACATGTTTGTGGCAAAGTCAAGCAAGCATATGAATTGAAGCAGAATGAGCAACATTTTATTACTGTTTTGGATGCCAGGGGTAGCTGGGTATATGTTTGGGTTTTTTTTTTTAAATGACTCCAAAAGGCATCTTAAAAAGTCATACTATTTTGGCAGTTCCAAGATTCATTGTTGCTACAAGTACTAACACTTGCCAGTGACTGATGCAGAAGCTGTTTTTCTCACGGCACCCATTCCTGTCTGGGGTTCAAACCAAGTTTCTGGATGTATGCTCGCATGCGTGTGTGTGTCTGTGTGTGTACTTGTCGACCCACACAGGCATACCACACGACTCAAGTACAAATCAAGGTGAACTGATGTATCATTTTTAGGGTTAAACAGTGAAAAAGGAAACACTGTTGACACACCTTTGAATGTGAGTTATGCAGATTATAAAATTTTTCTCCAGACTGGTGGAAAATTAAACTAACAACTCCAAGTTAATGACTTGAGAGTAAACAGTCCCACATTTATAAAATGAATTGAATTTTTTTTTAAGACTTGTACTCAAGTCAATTTTTCTCCACCCATTTAAATCACATCAAGGTACAGCTCTAGAGAATGAATTCCTAGGCTCCAAGAGATGGTTTATATGGGCTCTCTCTTGCTCTCCACTCTCTTCTTCGAAATAGTATGATTTTTTTCCCCCTAAAGTTGCACATCAAGTAGATCACTCCCTATCTCTAGGTGGCCCCCAACACCTGTTATGGACAGATGCAGGGCAGTGCCCATCCTTGATGTAGTTTTCACAGGTGATTATAAGAACAGTGCAGCACTAAACTCGGATGTTTTCAATTTAAAGGTTTATATGTTTTATTCTTAGATTAACTCCTTCCTATTATTTTGGCATCAAGGTGGTCCTCTCTTTTATGAAATATAGTGATAGATGTTTATTTTTTTATTTTTTTATGTCCTTCCCTGGCAAAATAAAAAAAAATTGGTAGCCCTAGGCTAACCCCCACCCCCCAAATAATTTTTGGTACTTTGCCTGGTGTAGGCAATCTACATTTGAGAACCACTTCTCTGTAGCACCTCCTGATTGAGAGTTAATCAGCTCTCATCTAGTTAACCAATAGCCTAGGGAAAATTAAGTCTAATTTTAGTCAATACTCAGGAGAGGGGGAATGAAAATGCTATCGTTTATAAATTTATGGTCTGTAAAGTTTTTGATCACTCTGGAACTTTTTCTCTATGCACCAGCCCCTCACTGTAATTCCCCCTGCCCCAACCATCCTCAAAGCTACCTCCCTCCTGGTTTTAGAACAGAAGTGATAGGCTAAGAAGGTCATCAACTATTTAAAAGGTTTTTCAACTATTTACAATGTATTAGCATGTTGCATGTAAGGAGCCTTGGTGGTTCAATGGTTAAGTGCTAGGCTGCTAACTGAAAGGTTGGTGGTTCAAAACCACCCAGAAGCTCTGTGGGAGAAAGACCTGGCGATCTGCTTCCATAAAGATTATAGCCTAGAAAACTCTATGGGGCAGTTCTATTCTGTCACACGGGGTCACTATGAGTCAAATCTAGTGGACGGCATCCAACAACAACAATATACCAGATAAAATTAAATAATCCCTATTTTCCAGGGACTATATCTGATTTTAAATTATTTGTACGCTACTTAAAACTTTATTTAGACTTTCCCTAAAATGAATTCTAATTTAAAAAAGTAAAAAAAAAATCTATAAACACTAAATATTTTAATACCCTTATTTACTTTGTCTCTAATAGAGCTAATCAGTGACAGGTTTGTTGTGAAGAGAGCTTACTTCCTAGACTAATCATGCGCATAAACACATAAACGTGGCACTATTTTGAGATATATGATACTAATAAAGGTAACAATTATTGGACCAGTCACTGGGCGAAGTACCTTACTTGGATTACCTCAGTTAATCCTTACAGCAAACCTATAAAGTAGGTGCTATTCTTATCCACGTTTTATAGATGAGGTTATAAATGAGGAACCTCATTACTATAATTTAATCTCCACCAACCCAGAATTTAAACTCAGTGTATACTCTGGCTATAAAAAGGTTGAATAAGCAAATTAGGAATGAAACCAGACTGTGGAAGACATATTTAACCTGCTAGATGGTTCCGTTTTAAGACATCCTGAAAAACAGATGCTAATTGAAAGCCTTCCAACAGTAACTTTTTGGGTTCTTGTTAGCTGCCATCAAGTAGATTCCGACTCATAGCGACTCTATAGGACAGAGGAGAACTGCCCCATAGTGTCTCCAAGGAGTGGCTGGTGGATGTGAACTGCCAACCTTTTGGTTAGCAGCCGAGCTCTTAACCACTACACTTTGTTAAAGTATGTGTTAAAATATTTTAAAATTCGGATTTTGACTAATTAAAAGTAGGCATTCCCTCTATTACCTTACCATTACCCCCAACAGTTAGCCCAAATTACCAGTTGCCTTCAAGCTGACTCCGACTCATGGTGACCCCATGTGCGTCAGAGCAGAACTGCATTCCATAGGGTTTTCAATGGCTGATTTTTCACAAGTAGATCACCAGGTCTTTCTTCTGAGGTGCCTCTCGGACTCTAACCTCCAAACTTTCAGTTAGCAGCTGAGCACCTAATCTTCTGTACCACCTAACGACTCCAGTCCAAATTAGTAGGGCTTTACTGAATTTCTACCTATGATACAGTATGGTGGGTGTCAGTTGCTGCCCTCCTAATACCCATTTCCCTCCAACCCCAAAAGTACCCAGAGCTCTGTTCACTGCCCTACCCCCAGCTCTGGTGCTTTAGGGGGAAGCTGCCCCTTCCCTCCTCCCCTGAGGGAAAGGCCAATCAGGAAATCTCCAATCCTGCCAATCAACAGAGAGCATTTTCCTAGCCACAGGGATTGGTTTACGAATGAGCACATGACTCACTTCAGGCCAGTGAAATGTCAGTGTTGGTTTGCTGGGGCGGGACCAACCCTAAGAAAGAAATAATCTTCTCAATCTTTTTAAGAGATACTAGAAGCAATGTTTTCTTTCCTTCCGGCCAGAGGGATGTGCAAAAATGGTCCCGGAACTTTTCCAGCCATTCTGCCTTCACGAAAGAAGCCAACCTGAGGATGAGTGACCTCATGCAAGAAAGAGCAGAGAGATGGAAAGAAACTGGGCCATTGATGACATCATCGAGTCACTATTTGCCACCGGCCCTGCAGCCCACTCTGTCTCTTATCCCTGTACTTTGCAGGTGCATGAGCGTATTCAGCCTCTGAGCTGTTGAAGCCCCTCTGAGTTAGGTTTTCTGTGACTCACAACCCAAAAGAATCTGAACTGATAACTGGGGAAACAAGTGCTAAGCCACAGCCTTCTCCTGGCACTTGATCAGGTTTTGCTTTGCATTGTTTCTTTACTGTTTCAAGTGTTTTGTGTTGTTTTTCCAAGAAAATCTAATCGGTTTTCAGGAAACACTTTAATGAATTACTGTAGAGCCTTGGACAAGTCGCTTGTCTTCCCTGGGTCTTTTCAACTATAAAAACGATGAAGTGTGACTGGAGATTCCTCTCTCTCCTTTAGCCCGCACAGCCAGTAGCTCTACGCAGCTTACAGAAGGTCGCAAAGTTCCACTCAAACAAACAAAAAACTCTCTTTGGGTTCTAAAGTAGAAACATCCCTTATAATATAATCCAAGTAATCTGTCATCTCAGCCATGTCAGATATGTTCCATTTCCCCTCTAGATCTACACCCAGCCTTCTCCTCTCTGCTCTGCACCCCAGAGACTCTAATCTTTGTGGGCAGCATCAGTGAGGCTCCCCTGCCTTCTGGTTTCTGGGTGAATGTGGCTAATGTGAGGTACCATCAGGAGGCTGGAGAACAGAGAGGAGAGTTCAGTGAGGCTATTTGTTCTCCTGGTTCTTTCCCGGCCACACTGCTATAGGTTGGCTGTACCCCTCTATCAGAGATGGCTTTTCCATACAGCTTCTCTTTCCCAGTTCTGGTAATCAATCCCTCCTTCTTCCTTTCAGGACTCTACGTGGTACCAGCTCCCTGAAATTGCTAGCCCTGAGATGCTTCAAGGTCCCTTGTTGGTTCCTCTTAACTCTTGCCTAACCACTACCGTCAAGTCGACTCCAACTCATGGCAACCCCATGTGTGCCAGAGTGGAACTGTGCTCCACAGAGTTGTTAGTGGCTGATTGTTTACAAGTAGCTGGCTAGGCTTTTCTTCCAAGGCACCTCTGGGCAGACTTGAACCTCCAAGCTCTCAGTTAGCAGCTGAGCACATTAACCACTTGCACCACCCAGGGACTCCTAACTCTGCCTACACCCTTATAAATAGTCCCTTCACTAGAGTCTCTTCAACAGTGAGCCATCATTTCCTACTAGAACCTCAAGACACAATTGCTTAAGAATATAATCAATATCAGGCACAATTTTAAAAAGCAAAATACCTGAATCAACTCTGAGTCTCACAAAAGAGCAATGAAGAAGTGTGGCACATGCCAAGAACAAAAGCCAAAAAAAAAAACCATACACACCAAAAGGATCAAATCAGACATCACTACACTCCCTTCCACTGTTACTGAGAATTAGTGGAAAACAGTCATTTTGCTAGACCAGGGTTTTAACCTCAAAACAGCAACAAAAAAAAAAAATTATTTACACACAAACTCATTGGCCGTTCAGATAGCTTTTGTGTGGAACCTGGAAGAGGGATCATGGCTGTGTGCCCATGTTCTAGAGGGACAAACTGAGACTGGAAGAGATGAAAAATCACTAGAAATGCTCTAGGGCTGGCTCAAAGGTTCCTTGATCCTGACTCTGCCTCTGGTAGGCTCTGTGGAGTTTCTCACAAAGGCCTTCTGTAATACCATTCTCCAGCATCTTCAATTCCTTCTTAACACTTCTAGAGCCAACATCCACAAACATCCTGTGGGTCCTTCAGTTATTCACAACTACTCTGCAAAGTTAAGACAGACAAGACAGGCCCTGTTCCAGGAGATGCTAGATTCCAACAGGCAGATCCATAACCACTGAGCATTTCCCAGGGAAAGTTTTCCAGAAATCTGTGGGTGCCCAGGAGCAGAACAGCCTTCCTCCCATTCTCCAGGCATTTCCCACACCACAAGGGTCACTGAGTGGGAATATTTGTTCTCCTTGCTCTTTCCTGACCATGTTGCTGTAGGTTGGCTGCATACCTCTACGAGATACAGCCTTTCCATACAGCTTCTCTTTCCCAGTTCTAGTGATGAATCCGTCTCTCCTTCATTAAGAAACTATCTTATGAGACATTCAGACACCAAGAATTCCAAAGAAGCTACCTGTTTCAGGGTTGAGGGGCTCAGTCTTTCAGGATCGTCCTGCTTCCGGATCTTCCTCTTTCAGCATCCTCCAGAGGCAGCGCCTGTAGGACCCAAACAGCACATTCAAGATATTTGGTTCAACATGGGAACAGGTAATATCAATCGTGGAGAGGCTGGAGTAGCAACCAAGGATGGAGCCCTGAAGAACCCAACAGCTGATGGACTCATCCAGGAGGAGGACTCAGCAAAGGCTGCTGAGGAAGGCCCCTGAGGAAGGAGAGGATTTAGGAGAGAAAGACATCCAACTGCATTCTTCCAGTTACTCAGGCCAAAAACCCAGGCGCCATCATGACCCCTGTCTTTCCCTCACACCCCACATCCAATCCATCAACAAAGGATGTCGTCTTTATTGTCAACATACAGGTAGTCCCCAAGTTACGATGTATTCAAGTTACGATGAACTGCACTTATGACCAACTGTTTTTGTTTTTTTCTACATCTTATCAATAGTAATATGGACTACATACAATGTGGTAGCATGCAATTTGCTGATGCCACTATTCTCAGATGTTCACTTGTAGATGTTCAAAGACATTGATAATAAAAGGCTATAATAATGAAAACTTAAAAAGAAAAAAAGAGGTATTTGACTTACGTCAGAACTGACTTAATGACAGAGCCATCGGAATGGAACCCCATTGTAAGTCAGGCACTACCTGTATATGCAAACTCTCACCACTTCTTACCACCTCCACCGCTACCACTTTGGTCGAAGCTACCCGTATCTCTACTAGGTTATTGCAATAACCTCCTAACAGGTCTCCCTGCTTCCACCTTTGCCCTTCTATAATCGACGTTCCCCACAGCCGTCTAAGTGATCATTTAAAAATCACTCCTCTGCTCAAAACACTCCCATAGTGTTTCATCTCTCAAGGTAAAAGCCAAAGCCCTTGAAATGACCACCCAGGACGCCCACATGACCTGGCCTGGCCCCTTCTCTGACCTCCTCTACTACTCTACCCTTCCTCAATTTCCTGCAGCCACAATGGCTTCCTCAAACACCCCAAGCAGGCTCTTGCCTCAGGGCATTTGCACTTGCTCTTCCCTCTGCCTGGAACACTCTTCCCCCAGGCATCCTTTACTTCTTTGGGTTTTGCTCTAACGTCACCTTCTAAGTGAGGCTTTCCACTTATACCCCAGCACCTGTCCTATCCCCCTTCCCAGTTTTATTTTTATTTATAGCTTTTATTATCACCTATCTTTTTTTTTTTCATCTCTCTTCCCTAACATTAGAATATAAACTGCCTGATAGCAGGGACACCATATCATGGTATGTTCCAGATACTAGCACACAGCAGGTGCTCAAGAAACGTTTGTTGAAAGATTGATTGTGGTACCAAAAATGCCAAGAGAAAAGAGAGCTGCAAGAAGGAGGAAGTTGTCCGCAGTGTCAAAAGTAGCAAAGAGAAAAAGAAAGATGAGCACTGAAGTGTCCGTTGGATGTGGCAATATGGAGGCCACGGGTTCCACAGTTCCTGTGGAAGGCAGGAGCCCTTTGGCAGCAAAATCCAAAGTCCCTCCTGTGTGCAGGCACAGCTCCCCAGGCAGAAGTCAGCCTCAAGGGGGTCTGCGTCAGCATAGATGGGATGTGAGGGAGCAAAACCTAAGAGCAGACTCTTCGCAGACGTCTATGAGTGGAGGAGAAAAGGGAATGAGAAGTAGAGGAGTAGCACAGAATGTCTGAAGGGGGTCAGATCCAGGAGATATGGAGAGGGAGGGGTTTACGGGGAGAGGATTCTCTCTGGCCAGGAGGAAGGGTGTGTCTTTCTCTGAGGGGAAGGAAACCAGGCACGGATGAGCCAGGACGAAGATAAACACAGGGGAGGGGAGGCAGAACCTGAGTATGTTTGCTGCTCAGTGACTTGACTTTTTTAACGAATAAATGAAGAGAGGTTATCTCCTGAGTGGACGGAGAGCAGATGGGGAGAAAGGGCTCTACGGAGGCGGAGGAGGTGTGGGAACATCCCACTGTGGGGAATCATGCAGGATGCACCCGAAACTGTCTCCTTAAATTTCCTGCCTGTGGCGCCTAACTCACCTTGCCCTGGTCTGGCCCTGATCAGCTGTGATGGGAGTGACAGGTGAGCTGGCCAACACTGCTGAGGGCCAGCTGAAACTGCTATTTTTGTTGTGTGCCTTCAAGTTGATTTTCAACTCATAGTGACCCCATGTGACAGAGCAGAACTGCCCCATAGGGTTTTCTTGGCTGTAATCTTTATAGGAGCAGATTGCCAGGCCTTTCTCCCGCAGCGCCTGACTGAGTTCAAACCACCAACTTTTTAGTTAGCAGCTGAGCACTTAACCAGTTGAAACTAGCGGCCGTGATTAGTAGGCACACGATTTGTGTGGGCTGGGGGTTTTTCTCTGACAGGTCCTCAGCACCCTGGGTTTAGAAGACTGTCTTCCTAAAACTGAATTCGAGGACCCCAAACAGCTCCACCCATTTGTGTTTGGGGTGCATTCTTCTCCCAGACTCCCAGATTCAAAACCTATGAGTCCTCATTCTCACTCCCCTCACTCTTCCCAGGCAATAACACAATCATGCTTCTTGTAATGTGAGAGAACTTGTATTTTTTGAGCACCTACTATGTACTGGGTGCATTACAAGTTAAAATCCTCACCAATCGTCCTGTAAAGTGTGTGTAGCCTCCCTTTACAGATGATGACCCTGAGGTTTGACAAGATTAACTAACTTGCTCAAGGTCACACAGGTAGCAAGTGATGATGCTGGGATTTGAAACCATTTGTCTTACTCTTCCATCTGTCCCTCCTTTCTATCCACACAGCCACCACTAGTCGAAGCCCTCGACATTTCATTCCTAAAATTCAACATCATAAATGTCTTCTAACTCACCCAACATCCCCTGTTTAGAATGCACACATCAAGACGAATCTTCTTAAAGCACTATTCTTCCCTATCCCTGTCCAATTCAATCCACAGACATCCCTTAGGGCCCTTCATAAATGATGCAAATCTCCTTCTTCAATCTTGTCTCCCACAGGCACCTCCTGTTCCGCCTCCTCCAGTGCGCTCCTCCCCTTTTCATGCACCTAAGGGCCAATGGCAGGCACACTTCCCCCCTACAGCTCAGCCCAAAGAAGGCCTTTCCCTCAGCCCTTTCTTAACCGCCCTACTCTGCCCCCTCTCCTGAGCAGCATCACCCTGCGTGCTGAGCTCGCTGCATGCAGCTTTTCTTGGCAAGTGTTCCATTTGTCCATGAAGTCTGCAAACCCCTTGAGGGTGTAGCAAACACTTAGAACTGCCCACCGTTCAACACAGTGTCTCAGATAATTTAAACGTTTCCTGAATACATTTCTGATGAAGCTCAGCTGATGTAACTTCAGAAGTTGTCCACAAAATACAGGAGAACTGGGCTGGGGAAAGGGAGAGGAGCAAGGAGTTCTTGAAGTATTTGGAAGCACACTTATTCTTCCTTTGCAGGAGGCACCCAGAGTCTGGCCCCTTGTAACAGCTATTCCAATAAGGAGGAGGGTGGCTGGATTCAGCTCTTCCCTCTTCTTCCTGCCCCTCCATATTCAAAGTCTTGGTATCCTTCCTTAGTGGCCTCTTCACATGCTTTCATAGACATAGATATCCTATCTTCCTCCCTCCTCAAGGGAACACCTTGGAATATGAGAAACCTGGCTGACTGAAGAAGCTCACGGTGGCCAGCAGAATGGTCAGGGCTAGGCGCGCCCAGAAGCAGGAAAACAGATCCTCTATCCCTGGAAAAAGGTGCCCGGGTGGCACAAACAGTTTGTGCCCGACTGCTAACCTAAAGCCTGGCTGTTTGAACCCACCCAGTGGTGCCCCACAAGAAAGGCCTGGCGATCTGCTTCCGTAACCATTACAGCCAAGAACAACCCTACGGAGCCCAGTTCTACTCTGTAACACGTGGGATCGCCGTGACTTGGAATCAACTAGACAGCAACTAATAACAACAAGAGCCCCTGGGAAACTGGGAGCTGGCCCTAACCCACTTCATTCATCGGCCATGGACCACTACCCAACAATTTGGGGATTCCCAGGGTCACAGAGGGAGGATGGCTGGGAGAGGTGAAAAGTCAATAAATCACTTAAGGGCCATCAAATCACCCCCAAAGATAGAATAGACAGCACCTGAATAACAAGGGTCTGAGAGAAAACTATGGGGGTCGAGGTGACACTGTCTGGCAAGATGTGTAATAAGAAATCAAGATCTACCCAAACCAGTGGAACTAAACGGGTAGGTGGTCTCTAGGGGGTAGTTGAAAGAACAGGAGTTCTGGAGTCAGGTGACCTTGCCACCTAATGGCTGTTCAACCTTGCTCTGGTCACTTAACCTCTCTGAGCCTGGTTCTGCATGAGCGAATGTGAGGCTCAAATAAAACAAGCAATGTATAAAAACATCTAGCACAGTGCCTGGCATTATATAAGGAGCCCAATAAATGCTGGGCTTTCAGATCCCACAGCTCTCTCAACCCTTACTTACAGGAACAAGGACAGACGCTACAGAGCATTTCCCAGAGAGAAGGTTTGCAAAAAAAGGACAGCAAAGGTCAGCAGAGGGGAGAACAAACAGGCCACCCCAAGGCCAGTGTTCTGTGAATACTCAGGTTTCAAAATACACAGAGCTTCGAGCCTCGGACCATACCCAAACAGGAAGTTTGTGACAAACTCAGCAAACACATACGTACAACTGCAGGAGACTGCACACTGATCAGAAAAGATGAAACCCAGCACTTCTGGAGGGGTCACTGGAGCGGGCCTGGGCAACACTCCAAATGCACAAAGTTCTTCCAGGGTGTTGGGGTGCACTCCTGCCCTGCCCTCCTCCATACCCCAAACGCGGGGGGGAGCTGGGCCATATCGCATGGAGCTGTTCTGGTTTTCCAAAGCCAGGGTCCCTCGACTCGTTCCCACTCGCAGCCCTCACTCCCACCTCCTCAGGCATCAAGGACAGAGGGTGCTCTGAACAGCTATCAGGGCTGGGTGACTTAGGGGTGTAGGATCACTTTTCAGCTGGGGGTACTTAGCATGGAAAGAGGAAGTGACATGCTG